TAGAGTAAGAAAGGCAATCTTGATAAACTGTACCCTAAGATCAATCAGTCTAATACTCTCCATCGAATCAGAAAAAATATCTTTCATCCTATAATCTCGTTTAATCTTAAATTACAATTTTGTTCAATATTTTTTTCGATACAAAATATAAAATGATTCTAAAAATATTTAAATATGAAAATATTTAATCCTTCAAAAATTTTAAATTTAATTTTAAATTTGTATGAATTCAAATGATAAAACACTCTGAAATAATAATTATATCGAGTCCTCAGTGTTTAAACTTTAGACTTTTAGACTCCCTGTTCGAATATCTTTAAGGAGCGCGATAAATACAGGAGGATCAGCATTAGTGGTCAGGACTTGGAATATCACGGACTACGAATTATATAAATCCTCCGACAAATCCAGATGGCTTTAGCACGTGTATAAGGTGTAACCGAAATCATAGAATGGAAGAAAGAAAATTTAGTAAGTATAAATTTTCATTATAATTATTTTTTTTTTAAATTTGAATATAAATATAAAATTATCCAACATTGTTGTAATTTCAATTTTTATTTAAATTAAAAAAAATTTTTTTAGTATATTCAGTGTATTTTTTAGAAAAGAGATGCAAATTGAGTACAACAAGTTTTTACAGAGATAACAAAATTTGAAAAAAAAAAATATCAAACTGACAATAATAAAAATAAAATATACAATATTCCAGTGTGTATTAATTTTAAATTTTTGTTCGAATATATTAAATTCGAAAAATTTATACTTTTGAATGTAAAATTTAACAAAACAATTAAATATATTTATCGTTTTATTTATATATGTGAATTATAAATTTTATCTATTCATGCAAAGTCATCTTTTTTCGTAAGTTATATACGTTATTACGAAATATATTTTATAAAGTTCTGGTGGAAGCTCATACGTATGGTTGTACTACTACTGGCTACTGTTATACATGTATACATAATACGTACAGTGAAGAAACACGCCATCAGCAAGAAAGATCTTTCTAACCTATATTTCTAGCTCTGTCAACCTTCTGCCGTGGTAAGATAAGAGATACTAATATGCTTTTTCTGTATCTTTTCTGTAAATTGATGCAAAGTATAAGTGACAACAAATGTGACGAAAAAAAATTCAATTTTTTAAAGTTTGCAATTATCAAATGGAGTAGATAATGTGATTCCTAATAATGTGAAAAATTTATAATGATTTTAATTAAAAAGAATTAACGATATTTCTGATTTAAATTATTCTGAAGAATTTTTTTCCCATTATAAAAATGTTAAAAGATTAAAATTTATTTAATAAACAATTTCTCGCGTATTATGCGCATCTTAAAATCTAAAATTTTCCCGAATATTATATTAATTCAATGTGTGCTCGTTTCGACGCTTTGTAATAATGTTACTAACAGTTTACTACGAACTAGACGTAGACACTTGGAGAGAAGATACGTTTGAAACGTAATCTGATCACTGCATCGGCGCGTGTATCAATTACGTTTGTCGTAATCCGTGCTAATCAAGCGCAGTTGGCTCAGATAGCGTTGTACAACAGAGATAATGCAAGGAAATGGCGAGGATACGTTGACTCCATTGTTCAAGCAGTCTCTGACGAGTGACTAATTACACAGCGTGCTCACTGTGTACCCGCGAATGCATTATTGTATCTCGAAGAATGCTTGTTGGCCCTTCGTTCAAAGAAACGTTCGTCTTTTTACCTGCAAATGAAAAAAAAGAAAAAAAAAAAAGAAAAAGAAGAAAAAATAGGAGAAGAAGAAGCAGAAGAAAATGAGAGATATAGATCGATCTAGATCTAAATCTATATCTAGGAAAAAAATAAGATTGTTTTTAAGATTATTTTCTCGATAAAATATTTATCCCTTAGAAAAGAAAGAAATAAACAAATAAAAAATTTAAGAGTTTTGAGAATTTCGAGAAAATTTCGAGTTATGCAAATTTAAAATTATATCTAGTAAAAATAAAGAATAGTAAAAAAAAAATAAGATAAAAAAAAGAAATTTTAATTCACCTTTTAATTCAGCTTCGTTTCTCAACTCATTATCCTCAAAATGGTGTCTAATGTGATTTACACAACTCCTCACTATGCGACAGACACGAGCTCCAATTATTTTCGTAGCAAACGGAACGAAGACAATTGTATTCGAACAATTACGACTGAAATATAAAGAAAAATTCTTTGTTTAAATAGAAATTATTCGTAGAAATTATAAAGCCAATTGAAAATTCAATTTTTCGCTTGATCTTTGATGCATTCTTTCATTTTGATAATTTTTAATGAAAAATATAACGAAGTAATTCTATTAAAATAAATCGATTTAACTATTTTTAATAGATTTAAATATTTTTGTAAATTATGCATAAAATAATCGGGAGATTATCATTTATATTTTTTTCTCTTCTTTGTGAATATGCAATTTTTTTCTATTGTCATTTTTTCTCTCTTTATTTTTCTCCTAGAAATATGGTCTATCATTACATCTTCATCTCTTTCGTTCCACACTTCCGATGTCGTCGTTCCGAACGATACGTTCGAATGCACATGGCATTGGTAGCTTTAGCTTCTCAACTAATTAAATTTCCTTCGTTCCTAAGAGTGACATAGGAACAACAGGAAATTCCCTTTTCGTTCCCTGAACATAGGTCCCCCACTTCCGCAATTCAGCAATTGCAGTGTTCCTTACTCCGGATCTTTCCCCGGCTCGAATGGAATTATGATCCAAGAATTATCGTCATTGGTCGCGTTTCGTCGCATCGTCAATGCCCTCTGCGAATTTTCCTTTTAGATTATCGAGATAAGGAGAAAAGGTATTCGTGGAATATTCGTATATCTTAATTTGAGAAATGAAGAAAATTAGTAATCTTAATATTTTTTAAATAAAATTTTTTTGCCGTATTAGTGTTAGTTTATATTGATTGAAATTGATCTATAAATCTATAAATTAAGAAATATTTAAGAGATAATCATTATTTTATTCGTATAGTTAAGAATATGTTAAGAAACTTGAAGAAGATAAAAAAGATAAAACTAAAAAGTATGGTTTCTACATAGTTAAAGTAAATTTACCTCAGTGATGATGGATATGTACTGACTTTAATTTGGCTGATCTTTCTTATAGTTATTTCACTTTGAAGTTATATTAAATCTGAAAAAATGGAACAATAATGATGTAAATTAACATAATATGTTAATTCCAATCTGAAATACTTTTGCAAAGAGTAAATCCATAAAATATAAATTATTTAAATAAATATATTTTAATTTTTTATTAGTTTAATGTTCATTTTATTTTTGATTTTATTTCGTATATTATTTGAAATTAATCGAGATAATAGATATCATAATTATGATATATATTTATACATAAATTTAGTTATTCATAGAAATGTAATATTTAATTTATTTTTAACAAATGTATCGTACATATGCATTTCTATTATTTTTTCTATAGAAATAATTGTAATATTTGATACGTTGTTTATAATGTATGTATGTTGTTTTAATATATGTAATATATTTTCAATGTAAATAATTTTATAGTTTGTTGAGAATAACATAAAACAAAAAAAAATTATACAAATTATTTAAACAAGAATTATTTTATCAAAAAATATAACTCTATTAATGTAACTTTACTTTCAGAGAATTTTTAAACGATAATACAGCTTGTAAAATCAGTATTTGCAGCGTAATATTTTTTCCAATGTTTTTCGAAGTGTAATAGTTCTCGTTAAGTTCAATTATACTAGTCATATACGAGAGTAAAATCGATGTTTGCTGCGTAAAATTTTATTAAGTAAATTTATATGATAAAATTTATGGATAAAATTGGAATCTATGTTTCTTTGTCAATTTTAATTTAAATAAACGCGATAATATTACTTTATTTTATTTTTACATACATATTTTTTTTTTCTTTACAAATACATAGTTCGTATTACTTTTATAATATACATTCGATTTTTCCAAATATCAAAATATTTACAAGTAGATATTTTTGGAAGCTATATATATTTTGAAGTTCAAAACCAATTTATACAATCCGAATGAACATTTTGAAAATATTAAAATTAGAATGTCAATAGTAAATAGTAAATATAATGTAAATAGTAATCGAATTCCATTAAAAGTTTGTATTAAAATTGATCTAGATTCAAAAATACAAATTTTAAAAATACAAATCTCAATTTTATTGAATAATTCGCTATAATCTCTATATAATTGAAAAAAAAAAGAATAACGAAGCACTTTTAAAATTGTAACTGTAAAAATTAAAAATTGATTCGTTATTATTAATAAAAGAACATGTTATACATAATAAGATAATATATACATAATATAATATTATACATAATAAGAATATATTATAAGTTATGTTAAGATTTTGTATATTTATTATCCTGTTAATATATTAAGATTAAACTTCATTCACAGTTTCCTCAAATTAAAGATTTTGTCTTATTAAGACTTATACCATTCTCCTTTTAATCCACATAATCGTAATGTGTAACTGGATTCAACGGTTCGTTACCATAATAGGATTTCCCGAGGTTCGCCAATCTAACCTCAAAAACTCGTCGATTTTTCCCATAATCGTTACGTCTTTACCGAACATTTAATAGCGTTGAGCGTATGCCAAAATCTGCTCGTTTGTGGTGTGGCGCGTGAAGAGAGCCGGAAATCGTGGTTTCACGACGAACACGTATGCCACAAGCCAGTATACGCGTGCAATAATTCACTGGTCCGTAATAACGAGTTGGTAACTGGCTAATGAATAACTGGTGAAAATTAAACAGTTCACAAATCGAGTTTCGAGTTTCCGCGCGCGAATCTGTGAAACAACAGTCACGATTCACTATATTACTGAGCTAATAATCGCTATGCCAATCGTGCTAATTAGCAATTGCGAGAGAAAAAATAAAAGTATCCAAAACTAACTTTTATACTTATTTGATATTTGATTACTGGCAATGTGATTAATAGTTGATTGATAATTTAACGAGGAATTTTAAAGAATCGAAATAGTTTTGAATTATATGGTTTTAACTACAAATACATGATAACTACAAATACTTGTACTGTACTTTATTAATTACACAATTAATAATAAATCTGTAAAGTTGTAATATTAGTACCTGCTAACAGAATTCTATTACCTAAAAATTAGTATTATCTTAAAATTAGTAAATTAAAATTAACATATTAAATTAAAATCATCCTCTTGATAATATAAAATTACGATATATACGATTATAATTAAACTTATGTCCTAAGATTCAAAAATCCAAAGTTACATCTATTATATAGTAAAAAAATTAAGCAGATCGCATAACTGCGTAATAGTAAACTATGTGTTTGAATGTCGACTATGCTCGCTAGACCGAAAGATCAACACAATTTGAATACATTCCGGTAGCTAGATTAGCAGGTATGCTCTGTAAATACTCTGCCTAATTATGTGCTGTACTATCATCATACGAATATTATATTCGTTTCCTTTTTATAAAATTCATTCAACTTTCATCACGAATGAAAAAATGAAAAAAAATAATGATAAAGAAACACAAATGATCGAGTATCTTAAAACTAAAAAAAATCAATCTATACAAAAATGAAATTATGTATTAAAAATAATTTTTGTATAATATGTAAACTTTTTAAGTTTTATTAAGATTATACGTAATTAAATTCTTAAATAAGATAAATCAAAGAATATAGATTTTTATAATATTCTAATTTACTACTTTATAAATTAAAAATTAGAATCAATAAATGTAGAATTTAAAAAAAAAATTCAATTCAAAGAATAATAAATAATAAACATTTTAGTTAGATATATAATAGATGTTTCCAAATAATGTGTATCTACGTAAGTACATATTATCTATACCTCTGCAGATATGTCGCATTATGCACATACCTTACATCCGATTATACAAGCAGATATAGGATATGCACTAGTGGCTAAATTTAGATAAACCGATCCATTGATTGAATATGATCCTAAATTTATTATTTGAATATTGATACATAGATGAAATATAATACATTTCGTTAAACTCTTTAAGTTTGCTTTAATATGATAATTACTTCATTGATCCATATTGTTATTATTTACTATTATTTTTCGAATAAATAAAAAACTTAGAATCTACTTACTGAATTGAGCTTACTATTTTTCATTTAATTTACAATCTTTGATATCTTTCATTAGTATTTCGTTACATAGAAAAATAATCTTTTTGAATTATGATTTTAATTGTGTTTATTTTCGTCACGTGGTTTTATTTATGCCAGAACATAACGTTTCGTATCTTTGAATGAACGTTATTTATGATTTAACCTAAATTAACGAAACAGCAAAAAGAAATCTAAAGAATTATTAAAAGTATTAAAAACATTAATATAACAAACAAAATGTACATATGTAATATTTGTGAAAAGATATATTATTCTTTTTTTAACTTATGGTAATGATTTCATGGTATAGAACCATGTCTTCGCTCTCTTTGAGTAAATTAAAAAAGAAAACATCAATAGAAAAGATTAATAAACAAAAAAAAAACATTAAGCGATTTGATGGATTAACAGAAGAAGAAGTACAACAGTATACTTTGCCAGATTATCTAGAAATGAATCTGGATTTAGTTTTTGTTGGTATAAATCCGAGTTTAATGGCAGCCCATCGTGGTAGATATTACGCAGGTCCAGGTAATCATTTTTATAAACTTTTACATGAATCAGGATTAACACCTCGATGTTTAATTTATGAAGAAGATTATAAACTTCTTCAATATGGAATCGGTCTAACAAATATAGTGACTAGAGCTACAAAATCTTCCGCTGATTTAAAACGTACAGAAATCAAAGAGGGTTCTAAAATCATATTAGAGAAATTAAAACTTTACAAGCCAAAAATTGCTGTTTTTAATGGCAAATGTATTTATGAAGTATTTGCTAATAAAATAGGTAATTTTAATTTTGGATTACAATTAGAACGCATTAATGAAACTGCAATTTGGGTCACTCCATCTAGTAGTGCTCGTTGTGCAAACTTTCCAAGAATGACAGATAAATTACATTTTTTTACTGCATTAAAAAAATATTTACAATTCTTAAAAGGAGAAATCAAAGATATTAATATACAAGAATTTTTATTTGAAGGAAAATGCAAACAGTTTATTCCAAAAACATCAAAAATGTGGAGACGAAAAAATGTTTCTGCATTTTTACATGGAGGAAGAATTGCTAATAAAGATACCATATGTTTAGATACATCTGATGAAAATATTGCAATAGCTTATAGTACAGAATTCATTGTAAAGAAATTTCAATCTAATGAAAATAATAAAACTAATGAAATATCTGAAACAAGTGAATCTGATTCATCACAAAACTTTGAAGAATGTATTTCGCAAAATATTGTAAAAACATTTTTTGAAAATGACAAATTTTCACAAAAAAAACATTTACTATCATTAAATAATGAAGAGACAAAAACAAATCAAATCTCAACTAATAATTTAAAAAATATAAAACAAAAAATAAAAACAAAAACTAAAATGAAAAAAAATTTTTCTCAAAAACCAATTATAAAAAAAGATTTTAAAAATAATATTGATACAGAGTTCATAAATTTGATAAAACAAAGACTGGAAAAAAAAAATAATAATCTCGATGAATAAATTGAATGTTTTTATAATTAATTTAATATTAAACAATAAAAAATATAATTAGTAATACAAATAATACAAATTAAATATTTTTTATATAAAATTTATTATTAATTAAAAAATTAGATTAAAGTTGTATTTCATTAGATTGTTGAATGAATGATGAAAAAAATATCAAAATTTGCAATAATATAAAATATATTTATTTAAATTTGAGAAAAAGTGGATATA